CTCAAAAAGGGGAGTCAGAAGAAGAGCTGGATGCAGCACAATCTCCCAACTCCAGCCAACGGACATGACGGTGTCCGCGGCACCTGGTTAGTGCAACTCTAGGTTGCACGGGGTTGGTTTGTCTAGTCTTTGTTGTGTTGGTGTTTGTCAGGATGGGACAAGGGTTGTCTGTTTCTGTGTGCACCCCGCTGCAATGGTTTTTGAAAAAATTTCCGGACTTCAAGGAGCAAGCTGCAGGTTCCGGGCAACCTTAGGTTGCATTTGTCTGGTATGTTTTGTCTTTGTTCTTTGTTGTCTTTGTCTTTGTCAAAATGGGTTAGGGTCAGTCATCTTCGTCGACCCCCTATCAGTCAGGCCCACTCTGAGTGAGTGGAAGGGGAGCTTGATCACCTCCCGGGGAAGCCATAGAGCTCCCTCAGGAATTGGGAATTAGTTAGGAATTGGGTGGATTGTTTAAACTCTGAGTGAATGTCTGGTGAAAGTGTGTGAGTGTGGAGGGAGGGGGCCTGCCCTCTCCTCTCCTTTATGTGGCTCCACGACTTCGGTTACGGAGTCCGAGTGGGCCCCAACCTGTGGTTCCACGATTCATCATATGGCATAATGGTGACTCACCCACACGTGGAGGTGACCAGGCCCGGGGTTTGTACGGGTGCACCTTAGCTAAGATGAATCTAAGCTCCCAAGGGACGCGGCCAGGCAGGCATCTGCATGAGGATCTGTGAAAACAGGTCACCCCCTCCCTTGTCTGTCTCTCACCACTGATCATCATGGGGTCGGGACAAAGTAACTGCCTTGGCTGCTCATTAACTGGTCTGTGTGAAGTGAAAGCTACTTTGATTTATTCTGCTTTTCTATTGATACGCTTGGCTGAACGTTTGGGCTGGGCCCATAATGGTCTGCAAAAGTCTCTTGGCAGCTGCGAGAATTATTTTTCTCAGAGTCTTTTGCTCACTATTAAAGCGGAATCAGCCCACTTAGCTAATAAAAATTTCTGTCTATCGCCGAAACCGGTTTGGCTCGGCGGATAGAGCGTCGGCCTGCGGACTGAAGGGTCCCAGGTTCGATTCCAGTCGGGGGCATGTGCCTGGGTTGCGGGCATATCCCCGGTGGGAGATGTGCAGGAGGCAGCTGATCGATGTTTCTAACTCTCTATCTCTCTCCCTTTCTCTCTGTAAAAAATCAATAAAATATATTTAAAAAAAAAAAAATTTTCTGTCTATCAGTTGCTCTTACCTAGGTTGTAAATTTACTGTATTAAATTAAAGTTCTGGGGTAGATTTGAAGGTTATGATGTTAATGCTTTTGATCTGCAGAAATTCTGTGAATGGGAGTGGCCCACTTTCCAGGTGGGATAGCCAGATGTAGGGACTTGTGATTTAACCACCACTTTTCAGGTTCACCATATTGTCTACAGCTGGCCGGGTCACCCCTACCAAATTCCCTATATTCAAGTGTGGGTCGATATTTTGACTGAAGAACCAAGGTGGTTAAAAGTTGTCAAAATAAGGAAAAGAAATTGGGACAGAGACAGACAGTCCTCTTGGCTCCAGCCCAGAAGGGCAAAACTCCCCCTGTTCTACAAGGTCCAAGTGAGGAGGCACTCCCCGGGGTCAGGTCTCCCCTGTATACTCCCCCACCCTCTGCTCTGATGGTGGCTAAAGACCCTGACCCGAACCCCTGCCTCCTCCACAGCTGGTTTCCTTTCCTCCGAAAACACCAGTCCAGGACCTGGCTCCATTCTGCCCTTCTCACACTAGGCAAGGGACAGAGTATGGAGACAAAGAGAGAGAGGGTCAGGGTGGAAGGGAGGAAACTTGTTCTAGGTCCGGATGGACAGCCTACATCTGACCAAGACAGATTAGAGGCTGTGTTTCCCTCCAGGCGACCCGACTGGAACCCCTATAGTAACAGGGGAAAGGAGGCTCTCGATCGGTATCGCCAGACTCTACTGGGGGGCATCCGAGCTGCTGCTTGGAGACCCACAAACATCTCTAAGGTGACAGAGACAGTCCAGGGGCCTAACCCTAATGCCCCGGAAAATCGGAGGGCTGTCAATGTTGCATTTGTTTCCCAGTTGACCCCAGATGTTAAAAAAAAATTGCAGAAGGTAGAGGGCTTTAAGGGGAAATCAGTCTCTGAGTTGGTTGAGGTGGCCCAGAAGGTTTTTAACAATCAGGGAGGACCCGACGGCAGGTTTAAACACCCGCATGGCAAAGGTCCTCCTGGCCATGAGTGAGGAAAAAGGCCCAAGGGGCCAGAGAGACAACAAGGGCAAAGAAAAGCCTCGCAGGAGAAAAGGAGTCCGACCCCGGCTTGGGGAAAATCAGTGTGCATTTTGCAGAAAGGAAGGACACTGGAAAAAGGGAGTGCCCTGAACGTGTGGGGGAACTGACTCCTGTGTTGGTAGAGGAGGTGGATTAGGGTTGTCAGGGCTCAGCTAGTCCCTGAGAGCCCAGGATAACCCTGACAGTGGGGGGGCCAAAAGGTGGACTTCATAGCACTCACTCAGGCCCTCTAATGGGAAAGGAAAAAAGAGTGAACATTTCAGCTTCCTGAAAACAGCTGCCTTGAACCCGACCACACTCCTCCCTGACGAGGAGGCAGAGGCTCCTTTGCATGACTGTGAGGAGACACTGACTACCCTCACTTCCCTCCGTGAGAACCTTGTGGACCAGGACCAGCCCCTGCAGAATTCAGATTAGACCCTCTACACGGACGGGAGCAGCTTCATAGAGGAAGGTACCCGGTATGCGGGGGCGGCAGTAGTGACATGAGGAGCCAAGAGAAATCTACAATCCGCCAGGATTAGAAAGAAGCCCTGGTGAGCGCCCCGGCACTCACCCTGCCAGACCTACCCAGGGACTGCAGGGATATATCTCCTCACACTGCCCTTACAGGAGGACACGGGAGCCACCTTAAAGAGGACTCCTAACCTCAGGAGGCAAGGACATTAAAAATGCTCCTGAGATACTTAACCTCCTGGCAGCCATATAGGGGCCAGGGAAGTGGCTAAAAGACCAGTAGGGCCCCTAGAAGTTCTTGTAGCCCTGCCAGAGCGAAGGCTCCCAGAGAAACCTACTCATCTGCCGGAGGAGCAGAGGCTAGCTGAGAAACTAAGGACCCAGGAAGGAGAGGCTGGATGGCTAATTCTGCCAGATGGGAGGCCTATAGTGCCAGAAGCCCTGGGGCGGACCATCACTTCCCAGACCCACTAGAGTACCCACCTGGGGGGAATGAAGCTATCAGAACTACTAGGAAGAGAATTTTACATCCTAGGGCTCCAGAAAATATCCCAAGACTTGGCTAGAAGGTGCCAAGTGTGTGCCCAGGTAAATCAAGGGCCCCTGTTGTGGCCGCGCCGGGGCAGCGATTCCGAGGTCAGAACCCCGAAGAACACTGGGAAGTGGACTTCACCGAGATACCAGGAGGACAAGGAGGGTATAAGTACCTGCTGGTTTTCATTGATACCTTCTCTGACTGACCTGAGGCATACCCAACCAAGGTAGAGACAGCACAGGTAGTAGTTAGGAAACTCCTCATTGAAATTGTCCTCCAGTTTGGCCTACCACTATACATGGGGTCTTACAATGGCCCCGCATTTATCGCCAAAGTTACACAATCCATAGTTAAGGCCCTGAGGGTTACCTGGAAATTGCATTATGTTTATAGACCACAAAGTTCTGGACAGGTAGAGAGGATGAATCAGACCTTAAAGGAAACATTAACTAAGTTAAAATTAGAGACTGGTGAAAACTGGGTAAGTCTCCTTCCTTTTGCTCTCCTACAAGGATTGACCCCTTTAAAATAATGTTTGGGCGACTGCCACCATTGGTGCCCAAGTTGGGGGAGGAGGAGGTCGTCCGTCTCTCTACCTGTAATTTGCTTAAGTCTTTGAAGGCACTCCAGCAAGCTTCTACAACAGCCCAAAGGATTGTGAAGGAGGCTCACCGAGAGACTGAACAGCAGGAGGAGCCCAAGGGACCAGAACTACCAAGAACTGGGCTGCCAGATCAACCAGGACCTGAGCACCTTGGAAAAGTCCATAGGGCAACTAGAGGAATCAGTAGGGTCACTGGCTGAAGTGGTTTTATGGAACAGGAGGGGCTTAGATTTATTATTCCTGAAGCAAGGGGGACTCTGCCTAGCCCTGTGAGAAGCTTGCTGTTTTTACACCAACCACTCGGGAGTGATCTGAAAAAGTTTAAGCCAACTAAGAAAGAGATTGGCTGACAGAGCGAAGGCTTGCAAGGCAGCAGGGAACTGATATGAGAACCTTTTCTCCTGGTCTCCCTGGCTGACGACCCTCCTGTCAGCGGTGGCCAGACCCTTACTTTTGCTTATAGTAGGATTAATATTTGGGCCCTGTTTGCTGCGTTGCCTGCTCAATTTTATTCTGGACCGCATCCAGGAGGTCAAGTTTATGGTTTTGCACAGGCAATACTCGCAGCTAGTAGATACTAGCGATGAATCCAGAGTCTGATTCATCCTAAAGACCAGTAGGGAATGTGATGGGCAGGCTTGCTTAGCACCATGTTTGGGAATAGAAATAGATATGTAATCTCTGTATAGCATAGGAAAATTTTTGTAACCAGAGTGTGTTTTTCTTTTAATTAACTTTGTACCCTATGTATCTGTACTTCTTGGAAGCCCGGACACCCTCCAGCCAGGTGTGACACCACACTGGTTTCCATTGAGCTTGTTAAAGAATAGATTGTGGTTAACACCCTTAAATAGGCTCCGAGAGAAAGGTTTGGGGCTGTAGCAGGGTGGGGCTCCCTGAGGGGAGGCACCTATTGCAGTCACTGGCCAGTTCAATAAATCCTCACTTGCTGCTTAAGACCTAATTGGAGTCGGTGGTCTTATTCTCGCGAATGTTGGTCCACAACAAGAGGGAGAGGGATAGAGAGCTAGAAACATCGATGAGAGAGGAACATCGACCAGCTGCCTCCTGCACACTCCCCAACTGCAGATGTGCCAGCAACCAAGGTACACGCCCTTGACCGGAATCGAATGTGGGACCTTTCAGTCTGCAGGCCGACGCTCTACCCACTGAGCAACTGGTTAGGGTGGGCAGGAAACTTTTGTCTTCAGTGGGTTTGGGTGCTAAGGTGAGCTTGGAATGTGGATGGAATGTAGGTGTGTGACCAGGTATCTTCAGGACAGTTTCAATTCCTTATATGGACTGACTCTTGGTGTCCAGCAAGCTTTTCTTGGTCTTTTGTTCTCCTGTGGCAGGAAGCTTACACTAAGGATTGCATTGTCCAGCAGTCCTAACAGAAACTACATGATGAAGGGGTCATGTTTCTCCCCTGAGGGCTTTGTTATTCTCTCTTACCTGCAGCCATATACAGTACCCCTGAGTGCCCAGTTCATTTCTGTGTCTCCCTGTCCACCAAGCACAATCCTTTATTCTCCACACCAATACCATTAAACACTTATCCAATTGTACTGCATTTAATTGGTCACTTGTCATTCATAGGAAGTAAATGTGGGTGAGAAAACTGAGCTCTAGGGTGCTAGTGACACGCCCTGCCCCTAGAAGGACTTTGTTTTAGATCTTGCTAAACATATTTCCCAACTGAACCCAGTGTGATAGCTCTTTTGGAAACTTTGAACTAAGTGTTTTTTCTTTCCGGGAATAATAGGTCGCCTACAACAAGCTCTGGGAAAGAGGAACAAGCGAGATTTAGCCACTGGCAGAACAAAGTGAGTATCCTTTATCTAATGTTTCTACGGGTAGCTCAGGCATGCTGATAAGGCTTTCCTGCCAAATGAGACTTAGAATAACTGTGGGTGTGAGGATGAGCCCATGGCAGGGTTTATTGTACTAGCTTTTGAGGGTTTGCGCCAAAAAAAAAGAGAAAGAAAAACAATTCAGTCTGGTTAGACACTTTGCTTTCAGTCTTGTCAGATGCTGATCAGGGACCCCAGCCATGTCAGACTTCTGACCTACACAGACATGAGCTAAAAAATGGATTCTGTTTGAAGCTGCTAAATTTATAATTTCTAATACAAAGTGCTTTCCTTTAAGAAAAATCATGAAGACTTTGCAGCCAGCGAGATTGTTCAAAGTCTCTGCTTCATAGGACCCTAAATTAGAAATAATGAAACTTCTCTATCTTTAGTTACCTTCTCTATAAAACAAGAGTAGTACTGTATTTATTATCTCCCCCACAGAGTTATTATAAAAATTAGAGACCATGTGTATAAAGATCTGTGAGAGCAGCTTAGAAACAAACTACAGTGAAGGGGACATGATACCAAGTTACTTACCAGATACTCAGGGGTAGCTGTTCCAATTATAACTTATAAATACTGTCACTGTTGTTTAGGAACTTAAAACCTTATAGAGAGACATCCATGGGGGTAAAGTATTTTAATAAATATATGTATATTGGTTTATGGCATTGAGGAGAAAGGACAAGTAGAGTCTGAAGAATAGTAAAATAGATTAAAAATCCAACCTGATAAAATGCCTCAAAGAATGCACTCTCTCAGATGGGAGACTCAGGTCTGCATGGTAAGGCATTTTAGAATGTTCTACAGCTGAGAGTCCTACCAACATGGCCAGTCATCAGAGGTGCCAACTTCTTGAGTATTTCTGAGGATGTATCATCCTGTCTTCAAATGTATTTGTTATGCTACCCTTATGGAATTCTGTGAGTCATTACCTTTATCGAAGGTTTATTTAGAAGTTGCTTTTCGATATGTTATTACAACTCACTCACTTTAACTTTTTCTCTAAATTTCCCGCATGAAACCTAAGAGTTCTAAATCCAAGTCAAATGTACCATGGAATAAGCAAAATAAATTTAAATTCCTTTGTGTCTCTAAAAAAATAAAAGAAAGAAAGAAATTTTTAAAAGGAAACTAAAATTCACAAGTGACCTAGAACATTGAGCAGCATGAACCCTCCAGTGAATATACTCAGCCCTGGCAATGGGCTTCCTTGGAGGATAAGGATCTCCATTTAATGAATATTTGTGTGACTGGGAACTAGGGGAACTCGTGTCCACTCTCCTAGCCTCAGTTTCCTTTTTCAGTAATTGAGAGATTTAGACACACTGTTCTCCAGGAGACTCTCCAGCTCTGCAATGTTGAAGTACCACTATGTTCAAAACGCCCCACTAGGTATGATGAGAGATACAAAAGTGAAAAGGACACAGCCCTGCCCTCTGTAGTTCTTATCCACTTTGGGCGTCAGTTTTCTCACCTGGAAAACTGGCCAGAGAGGATTCAGGATGTATTTGTAAAGCAGTGGCTGTGTATGTGCCCTCTAACTGCTACCTAATATCTCTAAAACAATAAACTCATAGGAAGTCTCGATACTCAAATGAGTTAATGGAAGCAAAAGTCCTTTTTCAATGTAAACATTAGTGCATATGTGAGGGATGATTTTACTGCATTTATATTTTAACTAGAAGCCCGATGCACGAAATTAGTGCAAGAGCAGGCTTTCCTTCCCCCGGCTGCCAGCACTGGCTTCCCCCTGGCACCTGGGACCTGGCATCCCTCTGGCCACTGTCAGGCACCCGGGACCTGGGCTTCCCTTGTAGCCCCGGCTTTGTCTGGAAGGTCACAGCAAGGGTTCAGGAATCTGGAGGAGGGCTGCGCATAAATGAATAGAGACTAGACAAGAAATATAAATTTGGAAGGCATTTTGGGGGAGCCAGATGGAGGCCGCACCCTCTAGTGAAGTGTGCTCCCTGAATGTCTGGACCCATGGCTTTTTATTCACACATTTTGCCTTTAGCAAAGCACATATACATATCAAAAGTACAGCTTGGCAAACAGGAAAAGATTATCAGGTTAGGGGAAATGCCCTCAGCTGTTGGGCAGCAGGAAATAATATGCAGATCTTCAGCCCTGCTGAAGTTGTCCATCAGCCTTCTGATGAACTTCTAGCATTTATTATGCTAACTACTGTACTTAGCCTCCAGCAGCAAGGATGTCTGGAAGGACATCCAGTCTAATGAGCATATTACACTTTTATTATTATAGATATCATGAATTTGATGACTTCAGCAGGCTCCACAGCCAATTCTGTGATTACGATGGCACCCCACCACGGGTATCCTGTGAACCCCGGAAACATGTCTCAGGTGCCCCAATATCCACTCAACCAACCCCAAGTCCACCAAATTCCTGGGAACCCACCTGGTTTGGAGCCGCCTGTGTCTATGCAACCTGCCCAGAGATCCTTAAAAGAGGGCAAAGTTTTAGGGGTAAGTGAGTTTAACACTGTGTTCACTGGCCACTTGGCTGGAGTCAGGGGTGGGAGGAGGTTTGGAAATACAGAAACTCCAAATCCAGCAAGTGGGGCTGGAGCTGACCCAGCCTTGCCAAATTCAGGTCTATTAAGAAGCTCAGCTCTATAGCATCACCAGGGCCTCCGTGTGGGACCTTGTACTATCTATCTTGGGTATTTTAGGAAAGAGAAAAGCAACAAAGAAGCAGTAAATTGGAATGTTGGTCCTGTTGCCAGAATCCATCTTGACTCATGTGGCCTCTGGAAGAAAGTCCAGAGAGCTAGAAGGTGGATTCTAAACCCAATGTGCTTGAATGGAGTCTTTCTCCAATGGGAACAAAGTAAGAGCTCACAATGATTTTCCCCCCGCAAAGGCTGTCCTGGGTGGGACAAGGGAAAGCCTACTTCATTACATGGGTAAATGAATACATGCATCCATTCTGATTCAGGCTGTCCAGGTTCAAATCCTAGCTTTACCCCCATATACTGCTCATATCAATGTCAATCAATACTACCTGTATGGAAGGCTTTCTGTATCTGCCAAATTATAAAATACACAATAATTCCATTTCTGAGACTTGTTTTATTGATATGTCTGTACATATAAGAAATATGACAAGAGCCCTAACTGGTTTGGCTCAGTGGATAGAGCGTCGGCCTGTGGACTGAAAAGTACCAGGTTCGATTCCGGTCAAGGGCATGTACCTTGGTTGCAGGCACATCCCCAGGAGGGGGTGTGTAGGAGGCAGCTGATCGATGTTTCTCTCTCATCGATGTTTCTAACTCTATCCCTCTCCCTTCCTCTCTGTAAAAAATCAATTAAAAAAAAGAAAAAAAGAAATATGACAAGTGTGAGGTTATTTATTGCAGCACGGTTTGTGATAGTGAAACTGGCCCAAATGACCCTCAGGGTCTTTTTGCCTGCTGCTGTGAAGCCAAATAAATGACACCATTGCTGAAGGAAGGAAAGTGATTTATTTAGGTGCTGACTAACTGAGAAGATGGCAGGCTCATGCCTTAGCAACCATCTTAATGTCTCAGGGTAGGCAAAAGGCTTTTTTTAGGGGGATCATGGAAAAAGGGGCATTAAGGAATGCTGATGACATTAGTTTTACATTTGAGCTCTCACATGGGTTCAATGCTCTCTTTCATGTCTGTCAGCATCTGGTATTTTTTCTCTCTGAGCTTTATTTCTGGGGACAGGCTATTGCAGGGCTGGCCAGACATCGGCATCTATTACACAATATGGTAGAGGCCAGTGAAAAGGGGAAGTGGAACTGCTTTTGCCTGTGACATGCTTAAATATGAAATTATTAATATTTTAGACTATAAGTTTTATTAGTATATTCTTTTAATCTTTGATTAGTTAGTCAATTAGAAGTGAGGTTTTTTTTTTTTAATATCCTATACCCTGTTATAATAGGAAAAGAATGGGGATAACCAAAATATTTATTTATATAATACTGGTTAAATCAATATGTTATATGTCTAAAGAATGAAATGTAATGGAGCTATAAAAAGGATGCTTTTTACCCTTCCAGTGTGGCTCGTTGGTTGATCATCATGCCATGTACTCAGTGGTCGCCAGCTCTATGCCCAATCAAGGTACATGCCTTGTGGCAGACTCTATCTCCAGTAGGAGGCAACTGATCAATGTTTCTTTCTCATCAGTAGTTCTCTCTCAATTACTCCCTCTCCCTTCCTCTCTCTCGGAAATCAATGATAACATATTTTAAATACAATATATATATATATAATTTAATAAAAATAAAGCTCTTTAGTTCTTTGAGTAATGATATGGACATACCTCCAAGCTATATCATTAATGAGAAAAAGAAATTGGGGCAGACATTTTGTATTATTTTCTAACATTTGTGCAAATATAATGAAATAATATACTTGTATTTTCCGTTATGTTCGTACTATATACACATATTTATCATTTGGGCAAGAATCTATAATAGTTTCCTAGAGCTGCTATAACAAAGTACTAATAATCAGGGGGCTTAGAACATAAGAAATTTATTGTCTCAGTTCATAAATTTGTAATCAGGGTATCCATGGGGCCATGCTCCTTCTGAAGGCTCTAGGGGTGGATCTGTTCCAGGCCAGTTTCCCAGCTTCCAGTAGGTCCTTAGCTGGCAGCATAACTCCCATCTTGGCATTCTCCTGGGTGCACATGTTTTTCTTCATATGGCATCCCTTTGAAAAGATAGCAGTCATAGGGGCCACCCTATTCCAGTATATCTCATATTATCTAATTGCATCTGCAGCAATCCTATTTCCAAATGAGATCCCATTCAAAGTCACTGGAGGTTTGAACTTCAATATATTAATATGAGCCCTGGCCAGAGTTGTTCAGTGGTTAGAGTGTAGGCATGTGCACCAAAGGGTTGCAGGTTTGTCTCACAGTCAAGGTCAGGTACCTGGGTTGCAGGTTCAGTACCCAGCCCCAGTCAGTCACAAATGGGAGGCAGGCAATTGATGTCTCTCTCATATCAGTGTTTCTCTCTTACTCTTTATCTCTGTCTTCCATCATCCCTTCAGTTCATTCTCTCTAAAAATCAATGAAAAAAATATCCTCAGATGAAGATTAATAAATACATATAAATTTGATGAGAGAAAGAAGACACAATTCAATCTAAAGCAATATCCCAAAGAAATAAAAGATGAGCACAAAGACTTATTTACAAAGGTGTTTATTGCAGTGTTGTTTATAATATGAAAACATATTATACCTGCCCAATATCTTTGGTCTTAATCATCCACAGATCATCCACATAATGGAATGTGGGCAGCCCTTAAAAAACATATATTTAAAGAATACTTAATGCCATAGGGACATTTTCATAATGAAATATTAAGTTAAATATGCAGAGCCTTTTTGTATTATCAGTGTGTATATTTAAGAAAATAATGGAAGGTTATGCACCAAAATGTAAGTGATTGTTTTCTTTAAGTTGGGGGGCAATTATGGGAAGCATTGTTTCATTAGTACATTTTAAATATGACTTTATTGACCAAGAGAACAAAATATTTATTAAAATAAAAAGGAGGCCCAAGAGTGCACGGGTTAAGATCTGGCCTCAGAAACTAAGGCCTCTGCTTTTGGCTCCCCTGACAGGCCATCCAGATCCTGATCGGCCTGATACACATTGGCCTCGGCGGTGTCTTAGGCCCCATGGTTCTCTGGTACTACATCGCAGTCTCATTCTACGGAGGCTATCCCTTCTGGGGAGGCATCTTGGTAAGTAATGTCAGTGGCCCTGCAAGTGAGTTCCAGAAATCGCTAACACACTGGCCAGTTGTGTACTTTGCCGCATGTGTTTTTCAGCCAAGAGAGCACGCGGGCTGTGAACTCAGCTCAGGCCTTGTTCACCAAGCACTTTAGTTCATGTGGAAAACCAGAACAAATACCACAGACTCGGTGGCTAAACAACAGGCATTTATTATCTCATAGCTCTGGATGTTGGAAGTCCAAGATCAAGGTGTGGGCAGGGTTGTTTCTCCTGAGGCCTCTCTCTTTGGAGTGTAGATGGCCGTCTTCTTCCCTGTGTCTTCACATGGTTTTCCCTCCGTGTGTGTCTGTGTTCATATCTCTACTTACTAGAATACCACTCAAATTGTTTTAGGGCCCACCCATATGAATTCATTTAACCTTAATCATCTTTCTTTATTTTTTTAAATGAAATTTTATTGGGGTGACATTGGTCAACATGAACATATAGGTTTCATGTGTGAATTTCTAAGTTATAAAATCTGTATATAGCCCCATGTGCCCACCACCCAAAGGCAAATCTTCTCCTGTCACCTCATATTAAGACCCCCTTCCCCCCCAACTCCCCTTCCTCTGGCAACCATGACACTGCTGTCTTTGTTCATAAGTTTCAATTTTATATTCCACATATGAGTGAAATAATATGGTTTTTAGCTTTTTATGTCTGACTTATTTTACTTAGCATAATGTTCTCAAGGTCCATCCATGTTCTTGTAAATGACTCTATTTCATCCTTTCTTATGGCTGAGTACTAATCACCTTCTTAAAGGTCCTATGTTCAAATACAGATGCTCTTTAACTTACAATGGGGCTACATCCCCAAAAGCCCATCATAAATTGAAAATATCCCGAGTCAAAATAAATTAAGTACTACACTGTAGAGAATGGGTTGTTTAGGCTCGTGATTGTGTGGCTGACAGGGAGCTGAGGCTGGCTGCTTCTGTCCAGCATCACCAGAGAGTATCTTAGCACATAGCACTCATCCAGTAAAAGATCAAAATTCAAAATCCTTCAAAATCCAAAGAACAGTTTTTATTGAATGCATATCATTTCACACCACTGTAAAGTCAAAAAAATCATAAAGCAAAGTATAGTGAGTCTGGAAACGTCTATATAGTCACATTTGGAGGTGCTAGTGGTTTGGACTTCAAAAGATGGATTATGAGGAGACAAAATTCAGTTCATATATCAAGTGACAGTCCTGCAAGGTGCCATTGCCCCAGAGCAGGCAGCTTCCTAATTAGCCCACCTCAGAGGTTAGGAAACCTTTTCCTAGTTCATTAGCCAAGCTCTCAAATGCTATTGGACTCAGGCTCAGAGCTGGTGCTCCAGGAGAAAAATGTTTCCATCAAAGGTTAAGAGTGGCTGCCTAGCCACAGAACAGACAGTAAGCAGTGGGAACTCAACCTGGAGTTCTCTGATGGGCTCAGAGTCCACCTTGTTGCAAAATATTTGGTATATTAGATGTCATTTATTTTCCTTTTTCTGGAAAAGTCCACAGTTTTTATTACATTTTCAGGGTGATCTGGAACCTCTTTAAAGTGAAGAACCAAAAATCCTTTCTCTTTCCAATGTATTGCCTTTATGATTGTTTTCCACTCTTCTTAGTGTCTTCCCTCTTCCACAGGCGCACTGCGCACACACACACACACACACACACACACACACGCACACACACGCAATTCAGTCTCTCTCCCACCAACCCTGTCTGTCTCTACCTGCCAAAACACAATTTTTCTCTCAAATCACATATCTGTGACCCAAGGCAACTTTTTTCTAAATAGCAAAACTCCTGGACATCAGCCAAGTCACCATGCACCATGAGATTTAAATAAAAATAGCCCAGAGTCATCCACCACACACACACACACACACACACACACACTCACACACACACACACACACACCTACAAATGGCAGGGTTTAGGTTCTTGGGAGCATTCTTATCTGAGCACCTGCTCTGTCTTGTTCTCATCTTCTGAGGCTGAGGTCTTCCCTCTGTTCAGCACAGACCCAGACTTGGAACTCAGCCAACCACAGACACCTGTGTGTATAACAGACTTCTGTGGAGTTTGGGGAAATGGAGAAGACTAACACCACAGCCACAAAACAGTTCCTGTTGGGTGTTAGATTCTCCTGTTGAGTGTTAGATTCTCTTAAGGCATCTCAAAGGCCTCGGTGGCCATCTTCCCTTTCACCAGGTTGTTCAGGTCTCATCAGCCCTCATGACACCACACTCCCTTCTTCCTGCAGGGCACTTTTACTCTGTGTTGCCTTACTGACTCTAGGACTATCTATTTCCTAAAGACCGTATGGTCCTCCTCCAAACCAAAGGCCCTCTCTTTAGGCACCTTAAGAGGACCAGCATGGACACCAGAAGTCCAGTCTTCTGTTTCCTTCCTTTCCTACAAAGTCTGTAGAAATAGAAGCACATAAAATTAAGACTCATTTTCCCACTTATAGGAAAAATGGCATTCCTCTTAGAAGGCACAGGTGGCTAGAGTAAGTTTTCATTGTGAATATCCATTTCCATTCTAAGCCACATGCATCTACCCTGAGGTGGAATGAGTGCAGGATGAGGGTTAAGAACATGAGATCTGGGGTCAAATACTTGAATTTGATTCCCAGATATACTATTTGCTGAATGCTCTTGGGCGAGTTATTCAAAATCTCTAAGCCTCAGTCCACCCCTCTATAAAACAGGAATAATAATGGTGCTTGATGGGGCATTATGCAGTTAAGTAATGCAAAGTTAAAAGCATTTCATGTAGGGCTGAGCAAAGCTTCCATTAAATCATAGCTGATACCCTCTCAAACCCTCACTGACAGCAGAGAATCCCATCAGCCACTATGCCTGCAGAACATCAGTGTTGAAATAAATACAAACATCCTTGCACCCTGTAGCCCTCATAGTTGATGTACTACATTGCAGAGATGCAACATTCTTTGGAGTAACTAACAGGGGTCCTCAAACTACGGCCCATGGGCCACATGCAAATACAAATATTGTATTTGTTCCCGTTTTGTTTTTTTACTTCAAAATAAGATATGTGCAGTGTGCATAGGAATTTGTTCGTAGTTTTTTTTTTAAACTATAGTCTGGCCCTCCAACGGTCTGAGGGACAGTGAACTGGCCCCCTGTTTAAAAAGTTTGAGGACCCCTGAACTAAAAGATACATTGGGTTGATATCTCAAAGCAGTGAAAATGTGGGAACCCCTTCCTTCTTCCTTCCAGAGTGCCCATGCCTGAGTGAATCATTTTAGGAGGCTAACAATATGTGCCTGTGGGAAAATAAAAGGCAAGAAAAGAAGTAATTGTATTGAGTATCTACTATGTACAGAATCTACCATGGGCAAGATACGCCAAATGCTAGAAGCAAGGGACAAATTATCTCATGATAATAACACTTAGGAAGACATATAGTCTTCCTCATTTTTTGAAGAGGAAATATACACTAAGAAAAATTTATTAACTTACACAAGATCACATGAGTTTCAAGTTAGAGTTTAAAAACTGGTATACTGGATTCTAAAATATATATTTATCCCTAGTCACTGCCCTCCCTTCCTTCCTTCCTTCCTTCCTTCCTTCCTTCCTTCCTTCCTTCCTTCCTTCCTTCCTTCCTTCCCTTCTTCCTTCCTTCATTTATTTTCCCCAAGTTGAGTAGGAGATCCCAGCAGAGGATCCTAGCATGTGTGAGAGAATATATGTGTGACCAGAAGCATGGAGCCTGAAGGTGGGTCTCTGACCACTGACTTCTTTCTAAACTCCCTCTCTTCTGCATCAGTTCATCATTTCAGGATCCCTCTCAGTGGCATCAGAACAGCAACCAAGATCTTCTTGCCTGGTAAGTCCCATTCTGAGACAGGCTTTCTGAACCATGGACCCTTAGGAGAGACACACAACAGGGGAAAGAAGTTCACACACAATGTCTCCTTCATCCTTGCACCTACTTATAACCAGACACAGGGCACTGACATGCATGCTCACTCATACTCACAAGACCACATGAACCTGGACAGAGTCACAAAGGGGAAAAAGTCCAGAAGAGTTGGTGGAAGGAAGGGAAGCTTCAGGGTATGGAGAGACAGAGAGAATAACTTTCCTAAGAGGATCTTACAAGAGGAGGCAAAAAACAACCAGGGGTGCTAGGCTGCCCTCCAGCAGAGCAGGCACTGACTGCCTGCAGCACACACAGCCCAGTGCCAGACATTACTACAGGGAAGCCAGGGGAGGCTCAGGAAGCAGCTTCCCAAAGGAATCCTTCCTAACAAGTTCTGTCAATTAACATGGGCAAAGCTTGCTGGCCCCAGTATTGGACCAAGAGAGTACCTTTGTTTCTCTCACAAGCTGGTTATCTAGAGAAAGACCCCAGCATGGCCTGGTCCCACAACAGATGAAATCTATTTAAAAACTCCACAGGAAAGATCAATTCTGGGCATGTCATTCTGCACATGGACCAAAATCATGGAGCTTCAGAGCTGGTCACATACCAAAACACTTTGGTTGAGTCTTTAAGCCATGTCTTGTGGGATAAATGAGTCCAGTGATTCCTAAACATTATTCTTGGGGATACTTGTCCCACAATATACTTTATGAAATGGTTAGATAACTTGGGAGGGATCTCTATTTAGTAGTCTACTCTCCAGTGGATCCATATTCCTTGTTAAAGGCTGTGAGAAGTCCTGCAACAGAAAAGACCTAACTTTGTGCAACTCAGGTGATTTTTGTTTTTTAAATATATTTTATTGATTTTTTTTTTTTTTACAGAGAGGAAGGGAGAGGGATAGAGAGCTAGAAACATCAATGAGAGAGAAACATCGACTAGCTGCCTCCTGCACAACTGCTACTGGGGATGTGCCCGCAACCAAGGTACATGCCCTTGACCGGAATCTAACTTGGGACCCTTCAGTCTGCAGGCCAATGCTCTATCCACTGAGCCAAACCGGTTAGGGCAACCCAGGTGTTTTCAAAGTTACTTTACCACCAAACCTATTTTGCACAAGATATCTCTTTACTTGCCTCACATCTAGGGTTCCAGGAATTCACATTATGAAGCATTTGCTGAATCTCTGCTCATCTCAGCTATAATTGTTTTCCTCTCTCATACTAACCCTCTGTATCTTCTTTAGCTGAAAGGTAGCTTGGGCATGAGTATCGTCAGTGCAATCTTCTCTATGGTTGGAATCATGCTCCTCATCACAGATATGGTTATCAACTCCAAATGTCGGAGCACGAGCGCCTCTGATTGCAGTGCAGTGGTAAGTATCCCTCTTGATCAATGCTCCTCTGGGTTCCAATGTAGCTTTCTTTAGGGCTTTTATAAGTCCTTGACCTATAGCTTTATTGCTGTTACTCTAAGCATGTGACTTTTCTTAATCTTGTTTCCATCTTTATAAAACAGTACCTACCTTTTGCCATTGTTGGGAGAATTAAATGCAGTTATACAGAAAATACATCAGTACCCACCAACCTGCTCATCTTCCTGCCCATTACTGTGGACAAAAGGGTCAGCAAAGGTGTTCAGAAAAAAGGATATAGTGTGAACATTTAAGGTTTTTCAGGCCATCTGATCTCTGTTGCAAGTACTCAACCCAATGTGAAAGCAGCCATAGAAATGCATAGGCGAATGAGCCATCCCATATATAGACCCATGCTGTCAAATAGAAATCTAATGTAAGCCATGTGAGTGATTTTACATTTTCGAGTCTCCAAATTAAAGAGAGGAAAAAAATGTAAAATTAAATTCAATACTACATTTAGTTAACCCAAAAAATACAAAACATAATTTCAATATTTAATCTGTGTAAAAAATTATTCATTCAATATTTTGCATTTTGGGTGCCACATCTTAGAAATCTAGTGTGTATTTAGTGTCTATTTTGCATTTACAACACATCTCAAGTCCTCAGGGGACACTTTGCTAACAGATGGGAAAGCGCAGCTATAGATGAGCCCCATGTAAACTCAATGTCTCTCTCTGCACAGCAGCCCTGTCCTCTCCTCCCATTAAAGTTATCACTCCATGTGCTTCTCCCCTCTCTCTGGCTCCCACCTCTCTTCCACATCACTGTCTGATTTGCTACAACTTTTCCATCAGCATCGAACACACTTTTGTTTCTTTCATCTTTAAACCCAAACTAACCTTCTCTTGGTTACTTCAGGTACCACTCCATTTCTCTGACTCTCTCTGCAAAAAATTCCTTAAGAATTGTTTACTTTGCAGTCTTCAGTTCTCTCCTCTCATAATCTCTCTTTAACCTGCACTAGCCATACTTTCAGCCTTAATTCTCCAAAAATTTCCTCTATTCAAGGGCCCAATCATTCCTCCTCTTTGGTGGACTTCCCGTTGGCTTCCAGGCACTGCAGCTGGTGTGCCTGCACCCTTACTGGTTGCTCTCTTCTCTGTCCCTTTTGCTGGTTCTGATCTTTCACCCAACTTCTCACACTCAGTCCTCAATCTTCTTCTGTTTCCCTCTCTACTCCCTGCCTTGGCAGTTTCATCCAGTCTGGTGACCTGAAACACTTTCTCTATGACAATGACTCCAAATGCCTAGGTTCCCACAAATCATCTCTCACAAACCCCAGTCTCTAGTATCCATTTGTTCGCTCACCATCTAATATTTGGATTTTAACATATCCAAATCTCCTATCCATATTTTACTTCCCAAACTTTCTCTCAGGTTGCCTTTTCCAGGTTGATGGCAACTGCATCCTTCCAGTCACTCAGGACTAACCTTAGTGAAATCATTAACTCACTCTGACTCTGCCTCCAGCACCTCTGAGCCAACTCCACAGGGAAACCTGCTGATTTCACCTTTAAAGTGCATCCAGAATCCAGCCATTTTCACCAGTTTCTCGGGCACCACAGTGGCTGGAGCCACCACCCCCGACTTCTTCTTCTTCTTTTTTTTTTTTTTTTAATATATTTTATTGGTTTTTTTAAAGAGAGGAAGGGAGAGGGATAGAGAGTTAGAAACATCGATGAGAGAGAAACATTGATCAGCTGCCTCCTGCCCACCCCCAACTGGGGATGTGCCTGCAACCAAGGTACATGCCCTTGATCGGAATCGAACCTGAGACCCTTCAGTCCGTAGGCTGACACTTCATCCACTGAGCCAAACCGGATACCCCTAACTTCTAATCTCAGTTCTGCCAATGCCTGGTCTTGGAAAGAGATCTCTTCCATCTCGTACACCCACACACCTCTGGCTTCAGTCCAGAAGAAGGAGGGCTGGACTTCAACATAGCTTAGCAAAAGATGAACCAAGGTGTGGGGTGCTCCAAGGTCTCAACAAGCATGAATTAATACTCATCAAATGATAACTATCTAAACTGCTGGAGGAACCCTTCTCCCTCATAGAAAGGTGTTTTTTTAAATTTATTTTTCAATTACAGTTGAAAAACAATACCATATTAGTTTCAGGTATACAGTGTAATGATTAGACACATATCTGATGAGGTAACTACATTCCCTATACTGTACTCTAATTTACCTCTCTGTGACTGTTTTTATACCTCCCTATTTGTTATTCTTAATACTTTTCACCTTTTTCACCAATCCTCCCAACTCTCCTCCCATTAGAAAGCTTTCTTTATAAAAGAACTAGAGGCCCCAGTGCATGAATTCGTGCACAGGTGGGGTCCATTGGCCTGGCCAGCGATCGGGCTGATTGGGGCCATTTCACCCTGTCCTGTTTGGGGTTGATGGGGGCCAGCTGGATGGGGAGGGACTGTGGGAGGGATCCAGGGAGTATCTGGCCCTCTCGCCCAGTCCCAACTGGCTGGATCCCAGCAGCAAGCTAACCTACTGGTTGGAGTGTCTGCCCCCGGTGGTCAGTGCTCCAACCAGGGTCATAGTGACTCATCGAGTGGTCAACCGATTGGTTGGACACTTAGCATATTACTCTATTATTATATAGGATGTTGTTAAAAAAAAATTTGAAAAGGACCAGCATCATTTGTAAAGGCCCCTCCACCCTAAGCTTCTGTGATTCCATTACTCAGACATCACCATCCTGCTGTTCCCCCTGCCTGAACACATGTCCAAACCCACATCACTGGATCTTCTACTGAGAATGAAACTGTCTCTCCTCAGTGCCCTGAGGCACTACTATTGGCTCTTTTATAGCTCTTAACGTGTCTGATTTAAATTATAACTACCTATATCTGTATATTCCTCCATCACTAGATTATGCCTCTCAGGATGCTTTCTTAGCCTTTCATAGCAAACATATGTTTAATAAGTGCTTGCTAAATCAAGAGGGAAGAGGAGAAAAGTGCTAAAGAGGGGTCTCTCCATGAGAGAGGATTCTCTGAGCAGCCAGCTATCACCAATGCTAATTTTAAAATCATAATTGACAAACATTTGTTTGATACCTACCATGTGCCATGCACATTCACTTCCATATGTATTTCCTCTTGTAATTGGAATCCAGATGTTATTGGGATCATTCATCTCTTGTCCTTGGATTCTACCCAAACTGTCTCCCCAGATACAGTAAGAGACCTCATTTTCTTGAGCATTGTTGGTGAACAAGGGAAGGGCTTAGATGTGTCCTGGTGCTCACGTGAAATCCACTACTGCTGAATTAGTTCTATTTGGGGATCCTTTTATTGACTGTTTTCTTAAGTTAAAGACAGTCCCAATTAGTTCTCTCCACAAAATACCATGGTCACAAGCCAGGAAGATTGTTTTAGTAGCTGACTTTCTCTAAAGCTTTGGAGGGATGGTGGAGGTAACTACTGATGCCTGGAGGTTAGACATCCCTGCTTTGTAATGTGTTAATTTCTCACAAGATGCCTTTTTTTCTGTAGGCCCTACCATCCCTTCATGTTGCTCAGTCCAGTCTTTCTCCTCTATCCATCTCTCTTTGCTCTCTGAGGACTGTCCATGCTCCCAAATTTCTCTTTGCTTCCTACACAGAACAGTTTCACTGTCTTAACTCCAAATACCATCCTTAGGTTACGTGCCCTGTACCCAAAACAAGTCATCAAGGTGTTTCCCTAAACAATGACTGCTCTTTTCCTTAGAACAAAACAGGTAGTAAGTGTTAAAATAACTCTTTTACAAACACACTTGACCCTCAAAAAACCTGGTGAGATCATTTCTCCATGAGGCTGAGATGAGGTTAGAGGTCTTTCTCAAAGCCCTAGCCATGGTCCATTGCAAAGCCATGCTCTCTGAACCAGACCTCACACTCCCAGGCAGCCCTCATGACATCTGTGTTCCTCCTGGTTTCAGGCCTCTGGAGTAGCTTCTTCTGCCGTGATGTTCATCTTTAGCCTCCTGGAATTCTGCATTGCCTGCACATCTTCCCATTTTGACTGCAAACTGCTCAGCTATTTAGATAACAACGTGAGTGTGTATGATCCTCAGTTGGTGGAAAGATGCTCTAACGCGTGTGGGGACTAGAGAAGTTTTCAGGCTTCCCCTTCTTGCCCAGGCACATGGGGAATCCCAGAATGTCTAAAGGCCTTTGCGCAATTGTGGTTCTGACTAACGCACTTCCATTTACCTGTCTTTTTCAGAGAACTGTGGTCTATCAAACCTTCTATGTGACAAACCCAGTGGCCAATCCAGAACCAGTGAACGCTCCACCATCTTATTCCAGTGAGATCCAGGACTCCAAATAAGCCAAAGGTTCTAGAAGCATCTTTCACTGGAACCAAAAGAACTCCCTTTCTGGGCTTCTGAAACTCAGCTTCTTCCCCCCTGACAAACTAAGGAAAATGTCTTTCCAGCTGTTGGCACCCTGTACTTCATTCACTTCAGCTTGGTTATTCATGCTGTTCTGCCATTTAAAAGGAGGCAGGACTTTAAAGTGGATTTGAGCAAGAGGTCCTCCCTAGGACATCCACCTGTGGCACATCCAGTGCACATATTCATGTGCTTACCTGTGTGAGCTTATGAGCTAGTGAAACAAATGTCTAGACAACCCCAGCTTCATTCTCCCAATCATTCACTCACTGAATAAAAGTGCACTGAGCATTTGATATGTTCAAAACTCTATTCATGGCAGAAAGAGGGTGAACATGGAACATGCAAAGCCCTTGACTTCAAGGAACTTCTGCTTCACAAGAGAAGAACAACATGCAAGCAGTTTTCTCTAACATAAGGCAGAATGTGGGGATGTGTAGAGAGAGATCAGAGAGGGAAATTATTTATTCTGGCAATGATTGGAAAAGCAGAGAACAAGCCTGGTTGAGGAAGCAGCATTTGTTGGGGGCATTAAAGGAGAGTAGGTGGTTTTTATTTTGGTTTTTAAGTGCAATATTATACCATTATTTTGAGAAGACTCAGAGAGAATCATCCACTGAAATTATTATGCTTTTTATATGCTGTTGCCACCGATGCAATAGTACTCAAGAACAAACGTTGCCTTAGGATATCTTCCAAAGTTTTGAGGCTATTATATCTTTATTTACCAAAGGATCAAAACTCATTCAAAGAGAAATAGCTGTCTATAACTTCTAGATGTATGCACTTTCAATTTAAATATTGTTACCCATGATGGCTATTTGGCTCCGTAAAGTTTATGTGCCAGCAGATTATAGAAATAATCTGTAAATTCCAGGTGCCATCAAGTTTTCCTTTGCTGCACAGCCTGGCAATGACTTTTTATTATTATTATTATTAAATACAGACATGTTTTTACTCTTGTAAATATTTTTAGGCTCTAATTTTACCTAAGAAGTTTCCTCTCAATGGCTTGATGTTCAGAGTTCTGTCTCAGCACCTGTATCTTCTCTGACCTTTGGATGCCCACCAGCCAGTCAGGAATAACTGAGATTCCAAAGCCTACAGTGTGTTTTCTAGAACTTAGCGGATCTTGGGAAATGACAGACAACAAAAAAATGTCAGTTGGAGCATGTTCTATTCTGATTTAGACCAGCCCTCCACTTCTTTGTTTTGTAAGCTGAGCCCAATGTTAGTACACTGAGCTCCCCATCATGGGCTGACTTGTTTGGACCAGTTTTAGAAGGCTGGATGGTCAGAGTAAGTCTGGTCCTCTCTCCTTCTTCTTTGTTGTTGCCTCTCATTGCCCCATCGGATTTGACATCTTCTCACTCCACAGATCTCCAGTCCTCCGAGTTGATCCTACACTCTCTTCTCAGAGCCTCTGAAGGGACAGAACGGAACTTGAAAGAACTAAGCAGAAATACACCCTCCTCCCTCTTCAAGGACGAAGCAGAGACATACTCTTCTCCCTCTCCTCTATCTTGTCTTGCAAGGCTGGGCCCTCAGCCCAAGCCGGCCCCCCCCCCTCCCCCGAGAGTGACCACAAGAATGCTGGTATTGTCCTGACTCTCCCAACCACCCACTTGAGTGGACCAATGAAGCTCCAGAAATGTAGCTAAGGTCCTAATAAGGCTATAGTGGAGGACGGCTCCAACCTTCAGAATGTGATGGTCACTTCCTGACCCTTATGCTGTAAAACCCTGACCAATCTCTGTAACTCACGTCACCCCTAAAGCCCACCCCAAATAGCTAGCCCTATATAACCTTTGTTCTCCTGGGACATGCTCTCTCGCCTCACCGCTGCGCCGGATAGAGGCTGGGAGCCAATTCTAGAATTGATCATTAAAGACTCGTTGCTTTTGCATCGGAGGAGGCTCCCTGGTGGTGGATTATTGGGGACCCTGAACTCTGGGCATAACACCTCCTTCCTGACTTATCTGACCTCTGAGTTAACATAAACACTCCAGATATGTCTCACCTCCTACATGTGCATCACCTCACATGGAAAGCATCTTCTAACACACCTGGTGCTTCTCCAGAGAGGGATGCCTCCCACCTGTGCTGCTGAAATCACCATGGGGCTAGTTTGAAAAGAGTTTCTTTCTTATCCTACTACCTACTCTATTAGTTTTGTGTGCTAGGCCCATCATCCAGAGGGTTCCTTCCTCAACCTGGAGTGACAGCTCACTGCCTCCAGCAGGTAATAAAATTGCGTACTTGCCCTGCACTGTCCCACAATCCATCTGTCTGAACACCTCCATTCACTCCCATTTTCTTCAGATCAATGACACATAAAAGGTGGAAGAGACTTTGGAGACCTATGGATCGATGGAAATGCACAGTTTCCATCCGTGGAGGACAAAAATATTCCCAAGATTAGCAAGCCTCTTTTATGACCATTTCTTTTTGCAGTACATTCTGATACCCCATTGCTTTTTGAAGGTGATGGTACCCAAAATTATATTAAGATCATCACGTGAACATATGTCTCAACCTATGGCAGGATCTCTCTTGGTGCATACATTTTCTGGAATATTTTTCACTTCCCCTTCCTATGTCATAACAAAGGGGATTGATATTATATTTGCCTTGGTTAATTATGAAAATACTCATATTCTCTACTTCACTTCTGTACTGTGCCTACACAGATTAATATTTTATTCTTCTTTCTCTTATATTACACTAATAAGTCTACTCCTTTATAACTTTATTTTGTTATTTGTTACTTACTAGTGTCCCAGTGCATGGATTCGTGCATATTGAAAGGAAATTAATTAGAAGAAATATTTTAATATTTCTCTATTTGACCTTTCTCTATAATAGAAGTGTTAACCAAATTAACAATCAACAATGACAGATCAAAACACACGCATGTGATTGGCACCAGTGAGAGCTTTACTAGTATATGTATCGTGCATGCATGAGTCAACTTCGCCTTTTATATATATAGAATACACTTGCTTAATTAGACCTGCTTTCTAATTTAGCTAAGGTTTTTCCAGCCCAGTGAAGTACCCCAACTTCTCTTTCAGGCAATTGTCAGCAACACAGCAGTAAATATCAACACAAAGTATATTATTATTGTAGATCACACAGGGAGAACAAAGGGCAAAATATTTAAATGTAGCAGTGTTTTACTATATTCTGCGCAGTGAGAAAACCTGAAATCATTTTCAAGTTTCATCATTTCTTCTTTTCAGTTGGCTCAAGTTTCTAAACTTTCTAAATCTCTGTTTTCTGCCTCATGAAAAGAAAATAGGATTCTACCAAGTCTCCTATCTACCTACTCCAGGACTTCTGTGAGGATCAAATGAGATGAGACATGTGAAAACGCTTCACAGACATTTGGTTAAAGTGTAAAATGTTTGCACCTGGCTATACAGCAAGCCAGGTTCCTGGGCTGAAGGAACTCCAAGAAGACAAAGTCGCTAGGGAGAGGAAGCCAGGCGTTGCTATGTGATGTCATTACCTGGCACCCACAGTTACTGTTTCCTGGATGGGCCAGGCTGTGGGCCGCATTTTGTGCCATGGGATCTTGGCAGTGTTGACTGTGATTTGTTGGGGTGTCGCTCTAAGGTGGTGGCGGGGCCTGTGTTCCACTTGGGGGAAGCCGGGTGTTGGTTTGTCGGCACCAGGTCCATGGTGCCGTTTATTTTTAAATGGCCAGTGTGCATCATGGCAGCTCCTGTGTTGAGCACCTGCCCCTTGGTGGTCAGTGTACGTCATAGCTACCAGTAAGATGGACACTTAACCTTTTATATATATAGATAATAGTAATTCTTACTATTACCTCTGCTCTTTTTTTTTTTTTTGCACAGATGGCTTCTCATTTTCTTCCCTTAAGTCCAAACTTACTATATATGTATACAGACATCTAACTGTTACATCTTCTACACTATTTAGTCCTGAAATCTTACACAATAAAATATATGTCTAATTATATATTATGTATATGTATTTATATACTACTTTTTGACAGTGAAGGCATTACTCTAGGCTGGAAGATAGTGGGACAGTCCTTGTTCTGCCACTAACAAGCTGGAGGTGGCAAGAAAGCCACTGCCCTTCTCCGCATGGCAGGTACATCATGTGCAAAGTGAGAGTCATGGATCAAATGATTTCTGGTTTTTCTTCCAAATATATCACTCAAAAAATTTTTTTTAAATTATCGTTATTAATGTCCCCCTATTTTTCCCCATTGACCCCCTCTTCCTCTCCACTCCTGTCCTCTCCCCAGGCCTTCAGTATAACTCAAAATTTTAGCATAAAATCACACAATGCATAATGGACTCTACTTTCAAAGTTCAAGGTATTCTTTTGACTTTTTAGGGATGATTTTTTTTTTAAGTTGTATGTACAGTGCTTTATCTTCTGGGTCCTTGTCTAAGTACTGATGGGCAATCCTTCACTTTCAAAGAAGAACTGTTCCTCACATTAGTTAGACAGACATTTCCCCTCCATAATGTCAACACAGTTTCCCAGTTATGAGTGAATCATTCCAGAAATGTCAGTTTGTGAAGAATTGGATAAGTGATTAAGCATAGATTGCCAGTTGTAAAAGGTAATCACAGAAACTGATGAACAAAATAGATACAGAGACACAGAAGCATGGAACAGACTGACAAATCTCAGAGTGAAGTGGGGAGGGGAGTCGGGAAGAGATAAACCAACTAATTTATATGCATATATGCATAACCCATGGACACAGACGATAGGGTGGTGAAGGCCTGGCAGGGATGGGGGAGCAGTTGGGATGGAAGGGTCACTGTGGGGGGAGGGAGGGAAGGGGACATCTGTAATACTTTCAACAATAAAGATAAATTTAAAAAAATAGTCACAAAGATTTAAAATACAGAATAGGGGATAGTCAGTAATATTGTAATAACTATTTCTAGAGCCAGTTGGGTACTCCACATATCATGGTGGTCACTTCATTTATAATAATAAAAGCATAATATGCAAATTGACCAAACGATCGAACAGCAGAATGACTGTCCAGACGACCTTCCGGAAGACCACACTATGACACGCACTGCACCAGCCCAGCGAGGTGGGTGCAATGTGATCGGTCGGAGGCCCGCCATTGCCCCATGATCACCCTGCAGAGGGAGGCACAGGCCATCGGCCAGCGGCAATCAATCAGGAGGCTCCGCTATCGTCCCAAAGAGGGAAGTCCAGGCCACCCTCTGAGGAGCAATCGATGGGGTAGGGGGCTCCACGAGTGATTGCCCCGCAGAGGGAGGCCCAGG